AACCAACAACATAAAAGACAATCCTAGATGTCGAGTCCCACAGAAAAGCACCACCCCCTATGCACAGGCCGAACAACGGGAAACAACCACCTAGAATGCCAAAAAGATAAGAAAAAACCCGGCTGACAAGTCCCACATGAAATCACCACCACGGAGCTCCACCTACCGTAAGCCGAACAACGGGACTAAAGTCACTAAACCAACCGGGATGCAGACAAGGGTGCCAAAATCACCACCAAAACAGATTCTTCCATATCCATAATAAAATTATAACGGAACCATACAGTAGGTCCGCGAAACAAAACACCCCAACCATGGGGAAGAGTAAAGCAAAAAAGAATGCCAGAATAAGAAATAGAGAAAGAGAATCAGAAAAATATTTTCTACCATAACTAAAGAAGAGCCTGCTAGTACAGCTCGCCGCATCATCTACAACAGCAGAGAGCTAGCAACGTCGGAGTTTATATTGTCACAATATATCAGAGCGCAAAAGCGAAGAAAAACATAAAGAAACCAAGAAAAATGAACTCATTTTTTTAATCTTCTTCCTTAAACTCCCCCTGTTCAGAACCTCTTCCCATGTAGGTTGCGCGGCGGCTGCCCCCACCCCACTGTGAATCAGAGCGTGAAGGGGGAAAAAAGCAAAACAAGGAAAGGAAGAGAAGGAAGGAAGGAAAGCCCCACCTGCTCATCACCTCTTACGTACAAGGCCAGCCACGTGGATGACAGGTTGAGCGCTGGCTGCCCCCATCCCCGTGTGTCACAAGGACCCCCCCCCACTTGCACGCACACAGCCAAAAGGCAAAAAAGAGGTAAAGAACTAAGGAGGAGGAGGAAACCAAACCTCACAGAGGCAAGAAAAAAGAGAGAAAGACAGAGCGATCCAGTGAAAAGCAAAGCAATTGACACATCCCTCAGATAAACCAATTACCACTGTCACAACAAAGTTCAACATATTTTATATTTTTCCTTATTTTCTTTTTTCGTTCTTTTTTTTCCTGATTTTTTTTTTTTTTTTTTTTTTTTCCCATTTTTCCAAGTATCGAAAGCTTTATAATCAGTGTTTGCTCCGGACCTGCTTGATTCTATTGAGACCAGTTATATATATTTGGAGAAAGAAGATTAGCATGGGCCCTGCGCAAGGATGACCCGCATAAATCGAGAATTTCAAATGGTCCCAAGAAAAAAAAGAAGAAAGAAAAAAAAATCCCTTCGAGGCTTCGAGTAATCAACCGTTTTTTTTTCCTTTTCCTTTTTTTTTTTGAAATTACAAACGACTGTTGAAGTTTTCTCCGAGGCGTTTCAGAAAAAAAAAAATAGAGGCATGAGAGAGCGGATGAGCAAATATAAGAGGATCTGGAAGCCAAATTGCGGTCAGATGCATCAGGTAGCCGCAATGCGGTCACATTCATTCAGGGTACAAAACTGACAAGAAGACTTTTGCCGTTGATCTTGGAGCGAAATTGCAGCCAGATACATCCGGTAGACGTAATGCGATCACATACATTCAGGGACCTCCACCTCAAGTCCTAAATTTAATCGCATACTCACAGTAATGTCAGTAAATAGACTTTCCTGGATGTATTGGACGGCAATTACGGCCAGTCCTTGATGTACCTGACCGCGATTACGTCAATGGATCAGTCAGAAAAAAAAATGAAGTCAAGAAGTCAACGTCACATACCACACACCAAATCGCGCCGAACAAATTGAAGCAACAACAACAACAACAACATTTTTTTTCAAAAGAAAAAGAGGAAATCACATTTCTTACCCTCCAAAACAAAAACAAAGACAAATCTCTCTCTCTCTCTCTCTCTCTCTCTCTCTCTCTCTCTCTCTCTCTCTCTCTCT